AGGAGCCAGGAGCCAGGTGCTTTTCCTGGTCTCCCATGGGGTGCAGGGCCCAAGCACTTGGGCCATCCTCCACTGCACTCCCTGGCCACAGCAGAGAGCTGGCCTGGAAGAGGGGTAACCGGGACAGAATCCGGCTCCCTGACTGGGACTAGAACCCGGTGTGCCGGCGCCGCTAGGCGGAGGATTAGCCTAGTGAGCCGCGGTGCCGGCCTCACTTAGTCTTTTTTATAAACATCCATATCCACACACATGCTACAACGGACAGCAAAATACAAACTTTCAGATTTTCATACAGGGATGCTCAACATCCCTATAAAATCACCCCGATACCCTTCAAAAGAAAATTGGTCAAATAAACTGTGGAAATCCCACAAGATTATGCAGCGATATTACATTAAAAAAAAAAAAAGAAAGAAACTTCCAAGAGCAAGGCTAATCTCTGAACTTCTCTGCAGTGATTCCTAGAATACACTGCATCAACAAAGCAAAGCGAACAACACCGCCTGCATCTCTCCTTACAGAAGAACGCACTGTTGAGCAGAGTGTGTGGGCTGACAGCCTCCAGTGGCAGCGCCTGTCCTCCAGGGTCATCTCTAACAGGCCTCCTCCAACAGCCAGTCCTCACCCCACAGCACACAACGCATGCTCACACTTCAGCAAATGTGCATCCCAGTCTGAGGTCTTCCCTACCTAATTCTGCTCCTTCACTTAACCTTGGTTTTTCACAAGCATTAGCCAACCAAAGGATGCCTGCACTCCTAACTCCACCCCAGTGTCTATCAACTTTTTATGTAACAAAGGAGAAATGAGAATACAGGGACTTGGCCTGAGACACTTGTCAATTCTCAGCATGAACAAGAGCATGGGTCTAGGCCTTCCCTGGAGACCATGGTCAGAGAACACAGAGAAACAAACATGGGCTTTGATGGTCTCGCAGAGCTGGCATGAAAAAACTGGATCTTCAGAAAACTTCAAAACCAGCTGCAGTCCTCTTATCATCTATGCCAAATTCTAAGGCTGCTCTAGCAGAAAGCTAAAAGGTGAAAACCAAAAACCAATGAATGCAAAAACACAGCTTTCCATACCACCCTGGTGCTGAAGAGACAAGGACTGGAGTAAAAGACTGGTAAGAGAAAGGGGCTTTGTAGAGCTATGCCAGGCTACCCAAAGTCCAGTGCAACAAAGGGAGACTGAGCAAGGCCAAAACTAAACTACACCTAAGAGTAGCACTAACCCAATCCCTGGGACCTGTAGAGTGACTTTATTTGGCAACAAGGTCTTTGCAAGTGTGATTAAAAAGGATGGTGAGATGAGGTCCTCTTGGATTATTCAGGTGGACCCTAAATCAATGACAACTGTCCTTACAGAAAACATACAGAGATATGACCACAGAGGCAGAAATGGGAGGAAGGGTGGCCACAAGGCTGCATGTTAAGGGCTGCCGGCAGATAACAGGAACTGACCCCAGACAGAAACACGTAAAGAAAGAAAGCAGTATACAGCACTGACAATAGTATATTGTCAGTTAATACAAAAATAGTATAGTGAGTTAATACAAAAAACTTCACCACACAAAAGGAAAACAGTATCATCTTAAGGCATGACAAGAATGATAAAAAAGGGGCTAGTTAAGCCACTTCCTGGAGCACCAGCATCCCTTATGGGTGTTGGTTCAAGTCCCAGCTACCCCACTTCCAATCCAATTCCCTGCTAATGTGCTGGGGAAAACAGCAGAAGATGGCCCAAATCCTTGGGCCCCTGTACCCACCCAGAAGCAGCTCCTGCTCCTGACTTTGGATCAGCCCAGCTCTGACCATTGCAGCCATCTGGGGAGTGAACCAATAGATGGAAGATCTCTCTCTTCCCCCTCTGTTCCTCTTTCTTTCAAATAAATGTCTTTTAAAAAATAAAGAATGATACAAAAAGAGGAAAGGGGGCATAAAAATGTCATCTTTATAGTAACCACTAAAAGAATGGCAAAATAATAACATATTTTAAATAGAAGGAAAAACTGAATAAAAATGTCTGATTAACCCAAAAGGCAAGGGAAAAAAAAACCTTTTGCTATCAATGAGAAAACACTAGTAAGATGGTAGATATAAAATCAACTGTGTCAGTAACTGTGTTGCTGTAATTCAAAGACAAAGCATCTTTAAGAAGAGTTCCCTTTTTTACAATAAACATAAATAAAAAGGAAACTTACTGAGCAGCCTCACTACTTGTCAGAATATAAAATGGTACTAAAATACTTTGCTCTCAGATTTTTTTTTTTTTTTGGACAGGCAGAGTGGACAGTGAGAGAGAGAGAGAGAGAGAGATAGGTCTCCCTTTTCCATTGGTTCACCCCCCAATGGCTGCTGCGGCCGGCACACCGCGCTGATCCGAAGCCAGGAGCCAGGTGCTTCTCCTGGTCTCCCATGCGGGTGCAGGGCCCAAGCACTTGGGCCATCCTCCAATGCCCTCCCGGGCCACAGCAGAGAGCTGGACTGGAAGAGGAGCGACTGGGACAGAATCCGGCGCCCTGACCGGGACTAGAACCCGGTGTGCTGGTGCCGCAGGCAGAGGATTAGCCTAGTGAGCTGCGGTGCTGGCCTCTCAGATGTCTTGTCAGCTTTTGGCACTGAAGATTTTCAGACACGTAGAAACACCGAAACTGGGGCGGACGTTCAGCCCAGCAGTTGAGACATCAGTTAAGATGCCCACATCCCATACTGGAATGCCTGGTTCAATACCCAGCTACAGCTTCTGACTCCAGCTTCCCGCTAATACAGACCCTGGGAGGCAGTGGTGATGGCTCAGTGATTGGGTTGCTGCCGCCCATGTGGAAGAGACCTAGAACTAAGTTTTCAACTCTTGTTTTTGACCACTGGGAAGCAAATCAGTGGATCTGACGGAGCTATGTATCTAACCATATCTCTCTGTCTCTCAAATAAATTTTAAAAAATTAAAATTCCCAAACCAAAAAAAGGAAAAGAAAAAAATGTACATTTAAAATCACTTGTAAATTACAGAAATTTTCTTCTAAATGTAATTTTAAGGCAAAAAAAATCATAAGAAAATGTTTCACTTCAATTCTCTAGACTAGGGGTCAGCAAACAAGAGTCCTCAGGGCAAACCTAGTTCACGGCCTGTCTTAAGCTGTATTGGAACACATTATACTGAAAACTCTCTAAGGCTGCTTTTGTGCTACAAAGGCAGATTTGAGCAGCTGTATGATCCACAAAGCCTAAAACAGTTACAACCTAGCCCTCTATGTAGAGTTTGCCAATCCCTGCTTTTGCTAAGCAAAGTGCAGGAACAACATGCACCTGGTCTTACTGCCCTTGCAGAATGGTGTTTATGAGAGGCAATCAGTTAGGAACCAAAGGATCACATCGGCTAACACCTTAGGTTTCTGGCTACTTCCATGGCTCCAGATTCACTCAACATCACCTTTAGCTACTGTTAACGCTTTAAAAACAGCAGGTCTCAATGCTAAATTACCGTTCATCAATTATGAAAAAGTCTGTCCCTCTTTCTCTTCCGGCTGCTCTATTCAGTCCTTTCAGAACTCTTAATTCTCCTCAAATAGTTTAACCAGTCTCCCATTTTCCCACTTTCCTATGTCATATTCTGGGTCTCTCTTTAGCAGAGCTGTATAACCTGAATGTTGTCCAAATGACATTTTTTTTTATTTCTTTAAGTTACAGTTGGTTCCTTTTTACCCCCAACATCTTGTTCCTTTATGTTTTTCATTCTTTCTTTTACACATCCAATTTTTCTGAACTTGTTTTGGGACACAGTTCCACCTGATGGTTCTATTCTTGTAGTCTGTCATGACTGCTGTCTCTTACCGGAAGGAGAATGCCCCACATTTTAGATTGATTTTGCCTGTTAGCAGGCAGAATGTTGTGGGAAGTTCCCATGCAACCCGGGTTGAAGTTTGCCTCCAGCACGGTTCTGTGCCTGCTGCTGTCAGGTGCTTCAGGGTGAATGCAGCCCGGATAGTATTTCTTATGACAGTTCCTCAAGTATTGGCTCCTTGGGAAGTACAAGTCATACAATCTAGAGCTCCAAACATCTCTGAATGGCTACAAGTTCTTCAAAATTCCCCCTTTCAGGAGCCCGAGCAGACACAGCTTCCTTGTGGGGCGAGTGAATGGATCATTTAATCTGTCTCTTCTTGGAAAGTATCACCCTCTAGAAGCACAAATCCCAGTTTTACAAGGTCCCAAGCTTCACTTTCTGTCCCCTTTTGCGCTGTTAAAATAGTAAATAGTAAATGGACAGGCACAGCATTAGCTCATGGGCCAACTGAGCTAGGTTTTACATCATTTTCATATTTGGCCCCACACAGTTCTCTCTTATCCTGCAAGTTCAGTTGCACATTTGAAAATGTTTTACTTCACTTTAAGAATTTTGTAGCACCAAGGTTTTAGTGTTACCTCTTTACCATATCATCAAAATCCACAATGAAATTATAACATAACAAATACTTACTGCTTCTCTGAAGTCACCAATTAGGACAACCATTTGCTATTTTTAACCAACCTGCTACTGTCTCCCAAATTTTTGCTTCAGAGCTTCCCTACAGCCCGAGTTTGACTAGCTGACTCCACGGAGGGTGAGGAATGTGGTGCAGGCCTATGTTCATGTTTTAGAATTCCCTCCCTGGCCCAGGTATGGAAGGTGATTCAATCAGGACAAAGCCCAGGACTGCTGTGAACAGGGAACAAACCTCTCTGGGCTTTCCTGAAGGGTGAAGATTATGAGGCTCCTAGTTACAGACTGCTGGGAGGGGCTGAACCTTACAGAGTCCAGAATGGGGAGGAGTGGGACCTGTGATCAAAACTAAGGAAGTGAGGCTGACACCAGGTGACAGCCAGTCCTACTTCTTAATTTTTCATTTCCATACTCATCTAAGCCACTTTGATTGGGTTTGTCATTTGAAAACATTCTTAGTGACATGGAAATATCAAGTACTCAAAGATCAATAATGAAACAAAATATTACTTGCTTACCTGTATAACCAATTCCTTTGGCATTTGTATAGGGAACCCCAGAAGATCCAGGGCTATACACAGGATTCATGATTTCAAGTACTAGAAGAAAAAAAAAAGATTTAGCTAAGTGCTTTGTTCCTAGATTTTTCTGCAGCATCAGTCCCAAAAGAGCAGGCAGCAAGACTCCTTTTGGCAGCCTATAATGCACTTCATGCTGCTCCCAACCAGCAGGGAACAGAACAGGAGTGCTCAACGCCCTAACATGCCCACTCAGGACACTGTACACTTTCCAATTCTCTTCAGTCCGTCAGAAGCTAGGGATAAAAATTCTACAAATAACCTAAACATCCTTGTAATGGAAGAATAACTGAGTAAACCAAAATATATCCAGAACCTAAAATACCATGTAGCTTCTCTTTAAAAAGTGCTTAAGACATAAGAATGGGATGGACATTGTAGTGCAGTGAATCAAGAATGTAGCTTCTTTCTTAAAACCATACGCAGCTCACTAGGCTAATCCTCTGCCTGCGGCACCAGCACACTGGGTTCTAGTCCCAGTTGGGGGGCTGGATTCTGTCCTGGTTGCTCCTTTTCCTGTCCAGCTCTCTGCTGTGGCCCGGGAGGGCAGTGGAGGATGGCCCAAGCCCTTGGGCCCTGCACCTGCATGGGAGACAAGGAGAAGCACCTGGCTCCTGGCTTCAGATCAGCACAGTGTGCCGGCCGCAGCAGCCATTGGGGGGTGAACCAACGGCAAAGGAAGACCTTTCTCTCTGTCTCTCTCTCTCACTGTCCACTCTGTCAAAAAAAAAAAAAAAAAAAAAATATGGGAGGGGAGGGGGTGCTGTGGCAAAGTGGGAGAAGCTGCCTGCAGTGCCGGCATCCCATGTGGGCGCCAGTTCGAGTTCTGGCTGCTCCACTTCTGATCCAGCTCTCTGCTATGGCCTGGGAAAGTAGCAGAAGATGGCCCAAGTCCTTGGCCCCTGCACCCACATGGGAGACCCAGAAGATGCTCCTGGCTCCTGGCTTTGGATTGGCGCAGCTCTGGCCATGCAGCTATCTGGGGAGTGAACCAGTGGATGGAAGACCCCTCTTTCTCTGCCTCTGCCTCTCTGTAACTCTGCCTTTCAAATAAATAATAATAAATAAATCTTTTTAAAAAATCATATGGGATGGGCATTGTGGTACAGTGGATTAAGCTGCCACTTGGGAGACCAGCATCCCAGTTTCCTGCTAATGCACCGGAAAATCAGATAATAGCTGAAGTGGAGTCCCTGTCACTTGTATGGGAGACCTGAATAAACAGAGTTCCTGGCTCCTGGCTTTGGCCTAAGCCAGCCCCAGTTGTAAGCATTTGGGAGTGAACCAGCAGATGGAAGATCAGTATTCTCTTTGTCACTCTGCCCTTCAAATACATAAATAACCTTAAAAAATACAAATGAGACAATGCTAAGTGAAAAAGTAGGGTACAGGGCTGGCACCGTGGCTCACTTGGTTAATCCTCCGACTGAGGCACCGGCTTCCCATATGGGCGCCGGGTTCTAGTCCCGGTCGCTCCTCATCCAGTCCAGCTCTCTGCTGTGGCCTGGGAGTGCAGTGAAGGATGGCCCAAGTCTTTGGGCCCCTGCACCCACTTGGGAGACCAGGAAGAAGCACCTGGCTCCTGACTTCAGATCGGCGCAGCACCAGCCGTAGCGGCCACTTGGGGGGTGACCCAATGGAAGGAAGACCTTTCTCTCTTTCTCTGTCAATAATTCTACCTGTAAAAAAAAAAAAAAAAAAAAAAAAAAAAAAAAAAAAAAAAAAGCAGGGTACACTACTGAATGAAGTATGATAGTATGATTTCCAATTTCTACCTTCACATACAGGCATGTGCATCTCTTGCACAAATAAAAAATCCTGGAAGGAAACGCATAAAAGCATGAATAGTGACTGTCGCTCCCCGTCTTCGTGGAGGAACGACACAGGACCCTGCGCTGTTCTTTCGTCTGCTTGGCCCTCCCCGGGTTTGCTGCTGGTTCTTCCCGGGTTGGCTACCATCCCTCCACCTTCATGGAGGGGCGGGGCCCCTGCCACTTTCCCCACTTCCGCGGGGGAGCGGCACACCGCCGGCCGGCTCTCTCGGGGGCTGCACAGGCGTTCCTTCAGATAGATGTTCCCCATAGATGTTCCTGGTGCATGCCGTCTCTCTCCTCCTTTATAGTCCTCCTCTGCCAATCCTAACTCGGCTGCCCACACGCCGAGTACGCTGCTCTCCTCCAATCAGGAGCAAGTCCTACAGTTTATTAGCTGAACTGGAGGCAGCTGTGTAGAAGCTGTTTACTTCTCTCCCAGCGCCATATTGTGGGAGAGCAGATGCATAGAATAAGTCTTAATTCCAGTAACTCAGTCTAGTCCGGTTTGCTCCCCACAGAGACTATCTCGAGATGGGATGAATTTATGGTAGCTTTCTTGACTTCTGCTAAATATATTTTTTCCTAAAGAAGACCAAACAGGGCATGTGTTGTGTCATAGCGGGTAAAGCTGTCTTGTGCAGTGCTGGCATCCCATATGGGCGCCAGTTTGAGACTTCGCTGCTCTACTTCCGATCCCATTCTCTGCTATGGCCTGGGAAAGTGGCAGATGACCCAGTCCTTGGGCCCCTGCACCCACGTGGGAGATCCGAAAGAAGCTCCGGGCTCCTGGCTTGGGATCAGGGCAGCTCTGCCTATTGCAGCCATTTAGGGAGTGAATCAATGGGATGGAAGATATCTCTCTCTCTCTCTCTCTAACTCTGCCTTTCCAATAAATAAATAAATCTTAAAAAAAAATAAGAAATCATAACATCTGAATTCTAAAAAAAAAAAAAGGCAAAATAGCTAAGTCCAACAATGCCTATTAAACCATCCAATGTTTATCATTCACATATCTTTTTTGTTAAAGGGGGAGTTTTCACTATTCCTCATCTGCTAAGTCACTCACCGACTATGTGGTTTTTGTTTTTTGTTTTTGTTTTTGTTTTTTAATTTTTTGACAGGCAGAGTGGACAGTGAGAGAGAGAGAGAGACAGAGAGAAAGGTCTTCCTTTGCCGTTGGTTCACCCTCCAATGGCCGCCGCGGCCGGCACACCACGCTGATCCGAAGGCAGGAGCCAGGTGCTTCTCCTTGTCTCCCATGGGGTGCAGGGCCCAAGTACTTGGGCCATCCTCCACTGCACTCCCTGGCCACAGCAGAGAGCTGGCCTGGAAGAGGGGCAGCCGGGACAGAACCCGGTGTGCCGGCGCCGCAAGGTGGAGGATTAGCCTATTGAGACACGGCGCCGGCCAACCGACTGTGGTTTTAAGGATTAAGGTGAGCTTCAATTTAAAATAAAAGCAGCTCGTGTGGAGGCAAGGGTACGTGAGAAAACTATTTTCCACTCAATTTTTCTGTGAATCTAAAACTACCCTAAAAAGTAGTCTACTAAAAAAAAAAAACTGTTAAAGATATAAAACGTGCATAATTTACATGTTAAGTGTCTACTTTCCCCACATCCTCAACTGGAAAGTAGCTCCAGGAGAGCAGGCAACATGCACTTGGTCCTGTTCAGTGCTCTATCTTCACCAATATAAGGTCCAGTACAAAACAGGAGTCAACTACCTGCTGAGTTTCTAAAAAACAGGTCCACCTCGAACACTCTAGGTATCAAGCTCCATCACAGGGGCAAAATACAAAGTCAAACCACTTCAAATTTCCAGCTCACTTGATCTATTTAGAATACTGACAACTAGAGCCGTTGAGTACACACAATAACATAGTAGATTTAGCCTTTGTAACAAGCTCTGGTCTGGGGCCGGCGCTGTGGCGCAGCTGACTGAAGCCCTGGCCTGAAGCACTGGCATCGCATATGGAGACCAGTTCAAGCCCCAGCTGCTCCTCTTCCGATCCATCTCTCTGCTATGGCCTGGGATAGCAGTGGAGGATAGCCCAAGTCCTTGGGACCCTGCACCCACGTGGGAGACCTGGAAGAAGCTTCTGGCTCCTGGATTCAGATTGGCTCAGCTCCGCCCATTGTGGCCATCAGGGGAGTGAACCAGCAGATGGAAGACCTTTCTGTCTCTACCTCTCTCTCGAACTCTGTCTTGCAAACAAATAAAAAGAAATCTTAAAAAAAAAAAAAAGTTCTGGTCTGAATTACAAATAAACTGGCACCATAAGTGATTAGGTCATTCCTTCCCTGATCAGTTGTCTAGTTTTTCGTAAATGTCTAAACCAAAGCCAGGTGCCGAATCTGCTGACATACCCAACTAGAGCTAAATGTTAAGACTCAATCAACACTGTATAATGATTCTCTTCCTCAATGTTGTTTTTCTATCTGCGCTACCCAGTACTGCTACCACTTGCCAGTAGTGACCTGAACAAAGTGTAAGAACCATTGCTTAGCTTTAGTGAACCTCAATTTAGCAGTCATATATGGCTAGGAGCTAGCACACTGGATGGCCAAGTACAGACCAGAGGAGAGAGAAAACAAGGAAAGCATGACAAGTAAGCAGGAGAATCAACTGTTGTATCCCACAATTTAGGAATAAACACATTAGCAACTGCCAGCCTCTACTCTTCTGCACTTTTAAACCCATTCTTGGCAGATTTACAACATAGGAGGCAAGCAGGTATTTTTCATCTACTTTTCTGGTTAAACTATCATTTCTTGAGAAATGAATACTTTCCAAACTCTGTATCTCTGTCCTGTGCCAGGACCTAATTTTATTTTCTCAGTTGAATTCAAAATAAGCAAAGCATGACACAAAGGCCACAGAGAAACAAAAGAGTAAATTACAGTCCCTCTTCTAAGTTTACGGTGGAAAGATGCTGTGCAACAGAACTATCTGGGAAGATGGAGACCTATGTCTGTGCTGTCCAAATATGGGAGCTCAATTTTTAGTTTGAAAAATTAAAGTTTAACTTTAATTGAACAGTCACATGTAAATGACAGCTATTATACTGGACAGTACAGGCCCATGAGGAACAAGACAAAACTCATGAACAATGGAAATAAAAGGACAGAGGGTTAAGAGCCACTAGAGAATAAAGTGAATTCTTAGTCAATGGGGGAATGGGAGAAATAGTCAGGAAAAACTTCATTAAAAAGGCACTATTTCCAGTGAGCAACATAGGATCCTAACTAGCCACAGAAATGAGAAAATGTAAGATACATTTTAGGAATACTGGGCAACTGGGTTTGTCTGAAGCTCAGGCTACATGGAAGGAATCAGCAATTCATTACAGAAACCCAGATTAGGTTACAACCATCATGTGAAGACCCTTAACTGTGCGTTGCATAGGAGCTGTCTTCAAATAAGCAATGAAGCTCACAAACAGCCTAGGAATTAGAGTTACCAAATGATCCTACAGTTCCACCCCTAGGTATATAACCAAGAGAAATGAAAACACGACTACACCAAAAACCATACATAAATGCTTATTACAGCACTATTCATAACAGCACCAAGCTGCGAAAACCCAAATGAAGCACTGACCACCAACCAGGAGGCTCTCCTTCCATAATGACCTGACTTAGCATCTGGTAGTACAATTCTGTACACCTGCCACTAAAGAGTATTAAAGACCCATATCTGAATTCTAAATACTGTTGCAGTTCAACCTACCAAGAAATTACATTTTCTGAAAGCATTTTTAACTTCCTTAGGGACCAATGTTCCCTAAAGTGATTAAAGCTGTAATGAATTAAAAATTATGGGTAGACAGAATATAACAGGACCAATGGAATAAAATACTGCAGTTCCCTCTTCAATTTGACCAAAAGGGCTAGTTTTGTTGAAAGAAAGCCAGTGACACAACAGCCATGCTAGTCTGCAAACAAATGCCAAAAAGGTTCTTCAAAGTTACTTGTTCAGATGAGAGACTTCTCCAAGTCCATGAGCTCAAGGGCAGGGAAAACAACTTTGCTAACGGTGCCTGGCATAAAAGGAACTCATAAATGCCTTCTGAATGTTCCTGAATAACTGAAGAACTATCCAACAGAAAATATGGGACTTTCCATTTACTTAAAAATCCAGTTCAGAAGTATCAAAATATGCCTGTCTGATTAGTGGACTTGAAACCTGAATCTGCTGAGCATGTTTTTATATAAACACACCTTCTTCATTTTCACTTATTTATTTCAAAGGCAGAGTGACAGAGATTATCTTCCATCCACTGGTGTACCCCACAAATGATGCCAACAGCCCAATCTGGGCCAGGTCGAAGCTGGCAGAAAAGAACCCCATTCTAGTCTCCGACGTGGGTGGGAGAGGCCTAATAATTTGGACCATCTTTTCCTGCCTTCCCAGGTGCATTAGCAAGGAACTGGATTGGAAGGAGTGTCTTAATCCACTATACCACAATGCCAGCCCCACATCTTAAAAAAAAAAATTATTTTCATCGAAGGCAGAGCATGATAGAGAGAAAGCGAAGAAAGAGGGAGCGGGAGAGAGAAGGGGGGGAAGGGAGGGAGAGAAGAAAGCTTCCATCCACTTGTTCACTCCCCAAATGCCTGACAGCCAGGGCTAGGGCAGGCCAAAGTCAGGAGCCCAGAACCTCATCCAGTTGTCCCGGGAAGTGAGGCCATCGTCTGCTGCCTCCCAAGACACATCAGCAGGAAGCTGAATCAGAGGCAGAGTAGCAAGGATTTGAAGTGGCTTTCTGAAACGCTACGTGGGCAACCCAAGCGGCATCTTAACCTGCTGTGCCACAATGATACCCACTGACCTAAACCCTCATTAAGAGGTGAAATACTTATATGTAGCCTTATGTGATGGAAAAATGAATTTTTGTATCATCTAAGATGTACTGCTACAAAAAGCAAATGGAGTCTAGAGTTCAAATGATGTTAACAGTCTGAAAGAAGACTGGGGTGGGGGCAAGGGATTTTCTAGTTTAAACCAGATTTAGACATAAAAGGAAATTTTGTTTGGATTCTGATTTTGATTGCAAAAACTAAAAAGATTACTTTTAAAATATTAGGGATGCAACTAAGTATGGGCTGGGTCTCAATATTAGTTTATTAGGTATGATAACAGCATTGTGGTTATGCAGAGAATTTCTGGAAGATACGTATTAAAGTATATAAGGATGAAAACGACATATCTGTAATTTAAAATATTCCCAGAAAAATGTCAAACACAACAAAATGCTAATAATCTTTACATCAAGATGTTAGGCTTATGGCTCTATTTTAAAACTGGTGGAATGAGAAAGTAAAGAAAAAACCCAGGGTCAGTGTTGTGACACAGTGGATTAAGCCGCCACCTGCAAGGTGGGCAGCCCATATGAGCAAAAGTTCTGGTCTTGGCTGCTCCACTGTTTTATTATGTGTCTTGAGATTTCTTTTATTTCTTTATTTATCTGAAAGAGTTACACAGAATGAAGGAGAGGCAGAGAGAAATCTTCCATCTGCTGGTTCACTCCCCAATTGGCCACAACAGCTGGAGTTGAGCGGATCTGAAGCCAGGAGCCAGGAGCATCTTCTGGGTCTCCCACGCAGGTGCAGGGGCCCAAAGATTTGGGCCATCTTCTACTGCTTTCCCAGGCCATAGCAGAGAGCTGGATCGGAAGTGGAGCAGCTGGGACTCAAACCGGCACCCATATGGGATGCCAGCACTGCAGGCAGCGGCTTTACCCACTATGCCACAGCTTCGGCCTCAGCTGCTCCACTTCCAATCCAGCTCCCTGTTAATGTGCCTGGGAAAGCAACAGAAGATGGCCCAAGTGCTTGGGGCCCTACAACCACATGGAAGACCCAGATGGAGTTTCAGGCTCCTGGCTTCAGTCTGGCCCAGCTCAGATGGAAGATCTATAGCTTGATTGATCAATATCTCTCTCTCTCCCCCTGTAACTCTGTTTTTCAAATAAATAAATCTTAAAAAAAAAAAAAAAAGACACACCATCACCAATCTCAGATTCTACCGCCACGGGGCAACCAAGAACCACCAATTTTCACGTGGGGTTTGGTGTGAACCAAGGACCTCAATCCCAAGGCAGCATCTGGAGGGTACCACTTCTAAGATGCTCCCCATCTGAAATGACTCAATTGCCAGAATTTCTATAGGTGTTTTGACATCTGGATCAGAACAAATTGCAGATTTAAAGCACCTTTAGAAAGATGAGATTGCTCAACTTGAAAATCTGGTAATAATCAGAAGGAAAGTTAATATTTAAAATCAAAGACCCATCACTGTACTTTCAATTTATAAAATACTAATTACAGTATTCTAAAAATTTTGTATCTTAGTATTTCATATCCACCAACCTAATTTCAAGGGACTTAAATTCTACCCTTTTCAGAATCACAAATATGCACGCTAAAATACTCTTCAGAATGACCAACATGAGAAATCTCACTACTCTGCACAGTACAACCAGATTTCAAAGATAAAGCCATGTGAGAAACGCATCACTCTACTATACTGGTGCACTGTTGTTTTAAAATTGTTCTCGATTGATTCAGAAAAAGAAACTATGTAACACAGTAGCCCAAATTTTCCCTTTAAACTACAGGACCTACTAAGGGTGAAAACATTTTTTAAAAGCACTTCAGGGGTTTTCCAATTCTAATCCTCTACCTGTGTGGCATTACACAACTCTTTATTTACTTTGGAATTCAAATAATTTTGGCATTACGATTCCATCAAACCTTAAAATGAGTGGAGAGCAGCTGTGCAGCAAAACTTCACAAACATACCTGTGCCTATTAAGAGGGCACAGGCAGGAACAGCAGAGGCTTCCTCCTTTCTCCAGGGTTTAAGGTGCTTGTCTTACCTGGCCTAAACCTTTCTTCTATTCCAAAGGGTGGGAGGCGACAAGAAGGGGCACCTACCCATGTGAATGCCCTGAAAAACCCAGGCAAGCGGCTTCCAACCCCGACAGCCAAAGGGGCCACCTTCTACCAGACCTTAACTTACAGTTGGTCACAATCCCAACCAATTGTAACTCATGTTTAAAGCTTTCCTGCGTCCCAAACACACTCCGAACTTTAACAGGGGTGACGCAGGCAAACACTGGACCAAAGGGAGCAAAAATCTTCAAAATTTCTGCCACGGTATCTTCGACATTCGGAAAAACAGTACTAGATGCCCCACTCTCGGCTGTCAAAATCAAAATATCCCATTACTTTCTTTACCTACGAAAGCTTTAAAACTGTCCATACTGTCGCCCAAACCCAAGACTTGGGGCAAAGTCTTCCATCCATAGCACGTGAGAAAGTAATCTCAGCTTATACAAGGATGACTTGAGAGTTTAAGTTGTGGGGACGGTACAAACCTCATTTCTACAGCTTCTGGCATGCCAGAACACTCCAAAATGTTTCTATGTGTGCCTTTCAATGATTAAACATTAACTCGTGCAATCCACTAGATGCACATTCGCCTACTCTTTAAATGAACCTGGTAAAGGTTCTTTCTTTTTTTTTGGAAAGTTAACCCAGGCCGTGCCAGGAAACGTCTTTTCCGAAGGAATTCTTCCAAAGCCTCATTTAAATTGTGCCCCGCCAGGCTGCACCGAAGACGCTCGGTGTCCGCCAAAGGGAATCATTTCTACTTGGTGGGGATGCAAAGTGATCACCGTCCCCCCCCCAAAAAAAAAACGCTTGCAAATCGCACGACCCCTAAACCCGAGTGACCGACACGACGTCCCATCGGCACCCCGGTTCTCACACTCGATTTCCTGCCCCGCTTCACCGCGACCTTTAGCAGGCCCAGAGCATTCCAGGGCCGTGAATCCGCTCCGGCCGGCTACCTGGCTGCAGCCCCGCGCCGGGTGGCCGCCCGCCCGCACCTGCCCGCGCCGGGCCCCGCCCCCTCGGCCCCCACCCGCCCGGCCCGCGGGACAAAGCGCGGCCGCGGCCCAGCCCCGGCGCCCGGCGACCCCGAGCCGCGGGCCCGACCTTGGCGTCGCCCCGGGGCCCGGCTCACAAAGCGCCGCACTTCCGGCCGGGCCGCGCCGCCACCCGGGCCGGCCCGGGACCCGCCCGCCGTCCGGGGTCGAGAAGGACGCGCGTGCCGCCCCCGCCCGCCCGCACTCACCGCGCCGCTGCGGCGGCGGCGACGACGACGACGGCCTGGACCTCAGTGACCAACGCACGCCGGCCCGGGACGGGCTCGGCCGTGAGGCTGGGGGGGGGGGGGTGAGGCGAGGGGCGAGCGCCGCGGAGTCCTGCTCCTTTGCGGGGCTGAGCCGCTCGGCCCCGCGTCTCCGCCGCCTCCCGCGCGCCGCGCTCCCGCTCGCTCGCTCGGCTCGGCTCGGCTTGGCCCGGCCCGCCTCTCCGCAGCCCGCGCTCCCCGCCGACGCTGCGCAGCCACCGGAGCCGCCGACCTCACTTCCGCCCGGGGCGCGCCGCGGCGGGGGCGCGCGGGCACGTGACGCGGCGCCGTGCGCGCTCCCGCCGGCGTCCTTGAGGCTCCCGGATGGAGTCGCGCGCGGGAGTTGGGGAGTCTCTGCGTTAGACGCTGGTGGGGATTGTTCCCCCTCGAGTGATATCGCGCCCCTGGGGAGCGCGGCGGGACGTGGTTGAGGCTATGTAGTAACGTCTTGTGGACTTAGTGTATTCGATTTCGCGTTTACGAAGCAGGGCGCGGGAGTGGCGGTGCGCAGCGCTGGGTCTGACGGGCTGGTGCCCCCTTGACGCGCTCCTGCCACGGGTTTCGGCTCCCGCAGCCCGGAGGCTGCCTGTGCCCCGGCGGACGGGGCGGTGGGGCCGGGGGCCGGCGCGGGAGCGCAGTCACCGCCGTGCGGGGCTTTCCCGGCGCTGCTCCCCCGACTCTGCGTTCATGGAGCCCTTTGGGAACGCACTGCTGCTGAGAAGCAGGGCCGGGGTTCAGGGTGCTTCCTCTGTGAGAAAGTCCTGGCCGCCAGCGTTCCTAGGACTGCCCCCTGGGACCCACCCGCCGGTGCCCTGCCTGGTCAGGGCCGGTGGGTCTGCTTAAGGGGTGGGATTGGGCGCTGCAGGAGAGTCTGGCTGGGCCCAGGGAGTACGGGGCCACCCGGACCTGTACTTCCGGAAAGAACCGGGCCGGTCCACCCCTACCTGCAACTACATCTGGAACAACCATTGCAACTGAAGATCCTTCAGTGGGCCACTCTTTTTAGGACTTTATAGGATTTTTCTTTTCTCTTACCCTAAATGCGTTGGGACCAGAATTTTTTAAGGTTTTTTTTTTTTTTTCAGATTTGGGAGGAGGGTGTCTTTGCATAACATAATGATTTATCTTGGGATGGGACCCAAGTGTGAACAAGAAATTCGTTTATTATATACCTTATGCACGTAGCCTGAAGGTAGTTTATACAACTTTTTTTTTTTTAATTTTTTTTTATTTTTTTATTTATTTTTTTTTTGACAGGCAGAGTGGACAGTGAGAGAGAGACAGAGAGAAAGGTCTTCCTTTGCCGTTGGTTCACCCTCCAATGGCCGCCGCGGCCGGCGCGCTGCGCTGATCCCATGGCAGGAGCCAGGAGCCAGGTGCTTTTCCTGGTCTCCCATGGGGTGCAGGGCCCAAGCACCTGGGCCTTCCTCCACTGCACTCCCTGGCCACAGCAGAGGGCTGGCCTGGAAGAGGGGCAACCGGGACAGAATCCGGCGCCCCGACCGGGACTAGAACCCGGTGTGCCGGCGCCGCTAGGCGGAGGATTAGCCTATTGAGCCGCGGCGCCGGCCTAGTTTATACAACTTTTTAATGTTTGTGCTTGAAGCGAAGTTTCACGACGTGGAAGCCCCCGCCGCCCACCGTGAGATGTCATTGCTCATAAGGTTTCAGATTTGGAGCATTCTGGATTAGGGATGCCCAACCTGTAGTTGTAGACGATGCAGCTTCTGGGGGGAAATGTCAATAGCTTTAAATAAAATTAGTGCATTGGGCTTTCAGATGTGATCTGTTGGAATACAAACACCATGGTGATTTGATTACCCTTTTTCCATATTAAAAATACACGAATGAGGAAGGCTTTTGACAGGCGGTTAGGCCACCTCTTGGGATGCCTGCATCCCATGTCAGAGGGCCTGAGCTTGAGGCTTCCCTCTGCTTCTGATTCCAGCTCCCTGCTGGTGCACACTCTGGAAAGCAACAGGTGGTGGCTGGAGTGCTTGAGTCCCTGCCACCCACAAGGGGGACTAGATTGAGTTCCTGGCCCCAGGCTTCAGCCTGGCTCAGGCATTTGGGGAATGAACCAATGGATGAAAGATACCTCTCCTTCAGCCTTACAAGTAGTTGAAAATAAATAAGTCCTGATCAAGTTTAAAATAAAAAGAATAAGATTTATTTATTTATTTGAAAGAGAGAGAGGTTTTCCATCCGCTGGTTCACTCCCCAGTTGGCCACAATGGCCAGAGCTGTGCTGATCTGAAGCCAGGAGCCAGGAGCTTCTTCCAGGTCTCCCACGCGGGCGCAGGAGCCCAAGCACTTGGGCCATCTTATACTGCTTTCCCAGTCCATAGCAGAGAGCTGGATTGGAAGTAGAGCAACTGGGACTTGAACCGGTGTGTATGGGATGCCGGCACTGCAGGCATTGGCTTCACCAGCTATGCCACAGCGTTGTCCCCTGATCAAGTTTTTTTAAAAAATTTTAAAGACTACACAGGAGAATTCATTAAAAAGCAAAAATCAAAAATTTTATAGAAAAATTCTACAAGTGTCATGTAAATACTTAAAATACATAATAGAAGAAAGGATAGGGCTGGGGCTATGGTGCAGTGGGTTAATGTCCTGGCCTAAAGCACCAGCATCCCGTGTGGGCACCAGTTCGAGTCCTGGCTGCTCCACTTCCGATCCAGCTCTTTGCTATGGCCTGGGAAAGCAGTAGAAGATGGCCCAAGTGATTGGGACCCTACACCCAGATGGGAGATCCAGAAGAAGCTCCTGGCTTTGGATCAGCACAGCTCTGGCCATTGCGGCCAATTGGAGAGTGAACCATCAGATGGAAGACCTCTCTCTCTGCCTCTCCTCTCTCTGTGTAATTCTGACTTTCAAATAAATAATAAATAAGTCTTTTAAAAAAGGATACATTTTATATAAGCTTGATTATAGGAAAAGTAACCAAATGTAAATAAATGCAATGGTATTTGTAATATTATAATGTTATGAAGTGTATTTCCTGTTTACAACTATCTCATATTACATATCTATACATGTTATGTATTTAAAAATATAATTTTTATTGTGTGAATTAGAAATAAAATATATTCAATGGTATTTATAACATTATAAAGTGTATTTCCTATTTATAACTATCACATATTACATATCTATACATGTTATATATTTTAAAATATAATTTTTAGTGTGTGAATTAGAAATAAAATACATTAATAAGCTTTTATGAGAATCCAGGGGTAGACAGTTTGTGCACCAGTTAACATACCACTTGGGGGAGACAGGTGTTGTAGCATAGTAGGTTAAGCCATCACTTGGGATACCCTCATCCCATAGCAGAGTGCCTGGTTCCACTTCTGGCTCCATTTCCGATCCAGCTTCCTGCTAGTGCACACCCTGCGGGACAGCAGATGCTGGCTCAAGTACTTGGGCCCCTGCCACCCTCATGGGAGCCCCAGATGGAGTTCCTTGCTTCAGGCCTGGCCCAGTCCTGGCTGTTGTGGGTATTTAGTGAATTAAGCAGCAGATGAAAGAGATCATTCCCTCTGCCTTATAAATAAATAAAAAGAAAAAAGATGCAAGAACAACTATTAAAAGAGAAGAAAGAAAAAGTTGCCACTCGGAATGCATGTATCCTATAATGAAGTGCCAAGGTTTGAAACCTGGCTCTACTTCTAATTCTAGCTTTCTGTTACCACATACTGTGGGAACAGCAGGTGAGGGCTCAAGCACTTGGGTTCTTGTCAGTCATATGGAAGGCACTAATTGAGGTACAGGTTGTTGATTTCAACCTGGCCCTGCCCTGGCTTTTGTGGGCATTTGGGGAATGAACCGGTGGATGGAGGATCCTGTCTCTGCCTTTCAAAATGAAAAATAATATGTTTATAAAAAAAGAATTGGGCAAAATCTGCATGAATAAAAATTTTTTAAAGAATTTATTTATATGAGAGGTAGAGTTACGCAAAAAGGGAGAGACAGAAGGGTCTTCCATCTACTGGTTCACTCCCCAAATGGCTGCAATGGCCAAAGCTGAGCCGATCAGGAGCCAGGAGCTTCCCCCCAGTCTCCCTTGCAGGTGCAGAGGCCCAAGCACTTGGGCCATCGTCCACTACTTTCCCAGGCATAGAAGAGAGCTGGATAGGAAGAGTAGCCGGGACTTGAACCAGCACCCATATGGGATGTATGCCAGCACTACAGGCAGAGGATTAGCCCACTATGCCACAATGAACAGCTCCATGAATAAAATTTTAAATAACCACCAAAGGTCACAAAAGAACAATTAAATGCATGGGGAGCAGGGATCACATCCATAGATAAGTACATTCACCATCAGAAAAGTGTCAGTGCTCCCTAAATTAAGAAGTTAGGCCGGCACTGCGGCTCACTAGGCTAATCCTCATCCTGCGGCGCCGGTTCTAGTCTCTAGTTGGGGCGCCGGATTCTGTTCCGGTTGCTCCTTTTCCAGTCCAGCTCTCTGCTGTGGCCTGGAGTGCAGTGGAGGATGGCCCAGGTGCTTGGGCCCTGCACCCGCATGGGAGACCAGGAGGAAGCACCTGGCTCCTGGCTTCGGATCGGCGCAGCGTGCCAGCCCCAACGCGCTGGCCGTAGCGGCCACTTTGGGGGGTGAACCAACGGCAAAGGAAGACCTTTCTCTCTGTCTCTCTCTCTCTCTCTTACTGTCTAACTCTGCCTGTCAAAAAAAAAAAAATTAAGAAGTTAACATAATCCCAATAAAATATCAGCAGTTATTTTCACTAAAGTAATTATTCTTTATATATGGGGGGGGGGGAATTGACCAAAAAAATCAAATGCAACAATATCTGCTAGGAAAATGTTGAAAATAATAGAGAGGGGACACCAGACCTGGCAATTTAAAAGTCTCAATTAGTAAATCAGCGCATGAGTAGACAGACCAATGAAATATAATAAAAGGCCCAGAAATAACTCAAATAATTTGGGGAAGCTGGCATCTGATAAAGATAGCAACCCAAAAAATGGAGATAAGGATGGGCTGTTTGATAAACAGTGTTGGGACAAAAATGTAGTCATGTGAAAAAGTATAAGATTGAATCTATATTTCACACC